AGTTTTGTTTTAAATCTCATATTACCCTTATCTGGTTGGCACATCAGTTTAAAATATCTGAATAAAAGTGGGAGCATCCATTCCAGGTTAGTTTTGCTGACGGGGAAGCTGATAGATCATTTATCAGGGTCAGAGCCTTGTCAAGGATAATTGGCCCACACTCTCCCATATTGGCCCTGTTAGTAAACAGTTTCACCTTTTCCTGTTGCACAAGAAACAGTTTTTACAGCCTTGCACCTCGAGCGAGCTACACAAGAAAGAGATCGCAAAAAGATTTTTCTGAAATGATGCACTGAGAACACAGGATCAAGCCCCCGCATTGTGCAGCAAAGAGATGGGATGCAGCCACAAAGCTTTAGAACGCTACAAAATGTGTAACATCGCTGTTGCATGCAGAACCACACAGAAAGCCTCTCTCTCATTGCTTGCACAAGGCTACATCAAGTATTGACTGGCTGTTCGGTACCTTCCCAGTGCCCACAGAGACAATTGAGGCCCCTATGGAGAAAGGGTAAGAGAGCAGTGGCTGTGGTGCTCTGGTAGTGTTTTTACCTCTGAGCCAGGAGACCCAGGTTCAAATCTCAACTATGCAATTACAGTTTTTAATTAGAGAACATATTTAATTTAAAAATAAACTACCACTGTTTTACAGCAGAAGCCAAACAAAATACTGGAGATCTAAAATTATGAGGGGCATGGATAGGGTAAATAGAGAAGGTCTTTTCCCCATGGTAGGGGAGTCCAAAACTAGAGGGCATAGGTTTGAGGTGAGAGGGGAAAGATTTAAAAGGGACCCGAGGGGCAACTTTCTCACACAGAAGGTGGTGCGTGTATGGAATGAGCTGCCAGAAGAAGTGGTGGAGGCTGGTACAATTACAATTTAAAAAGGCATCTGGATGGGTACATGAATAGGAAGGGTTTAGAGGGACATGGGCCAAATACTGGCAAGTGGGACTGGATTAATTTAGGATATCTGGTTGGAATGGATGAGTTGGACTGAAAGGCCTGTTTCCGTGCTGTACAACTCTATGGCCCTATGACTCAATGAGATCACAGCGAGTCAGGCAGCTTCCATGGAGAGCTGACAGAGTCATCTAGACTCAAAACGTTAGCTTGCTCTCTCTCTGTCTCTCTCTCTCTCTACAGATGCTGCCTGATCTGTTGTGATCTCCAGTATTTGTTGTTTTCAGTACAGATTCCAGCATCTGCAGTAATCTGCTCCTATGCTGTTCTATGGCAAAAAAGCTCATCCACTCTTTCAGTGTTCTCTGCTTGGGCTAATCGTCGAAGAGGAGAGTTGGTGCTTCAGCACAGAAGTAAAGTTCTGTGGATGCTGAAAATGTGAAATGAAACCAGGAAGGGGCTAATTGGCAGCAGGTCAGGCAGCGTCTGGGGGTCGGGATACAGAGAATCTGTGCATAGTCACGGAAGAAACATCAGATGTTGTATCATCATAGACAGCTTGCCTTATTAGTCATCTCTACACTGGCTCCCAGAAAGTTACAGAATTGAAACAATATTCAAACGTCATATAACATAAGTGAAATCAAACCTCAGTAAAACCGAAAAGCAGCAGGGGACCAATGAGAGAAGTAAAACCAAAATAGCAATTCTCAACAGCAATGTGACTTTGATGCAACTTCTAGCCCGTGGTTAGAATGGGGGTTAACCTGCTGCGCTGGAAGGAGTGTCAATAAATTATTTTCCAAAGATATTATTTACTTACGAAAAGTATGACAAGTGAATGGGAGAGTGGGATTATACAAAGAGGCTCTGAAAATAATGTTTGGGTTCTGTAAAGTTAAAATACACTCCATATGTCTGAAATGCCTACTCCCCTGAATACAGTATATTAAAAGCTCATCTAAATAAAGTTTTGAAAACGATGAAAGGGTTCAGCATGGTAGACCATAAGAAATAGGAACAGGAGTAGGCCGTTCGTCCCCTTAAGCCTGCTCCATCATTCAATGGGAATCATGGCTGGCCTGACATTCCTCACATCCACTTTCCTGCCCTTTCTCCTAAACGTTGATTCCCCGACTGATCATGAATCTCTCCATCTCAGCCCCACATATACACAAGGACTCTGCCCCCGTGGCTCTCTGTGGCAAGGAGTTCCAAAGACTCACAACACTCTGAGAGAAGAAATTCCTCCTCATCTCAGTCTTACGTTGGCTCCCCTCTATTCTGAGACTGTGCCCTCTGGTCCTAGACTCTCCCATGAGGGGGACCATCCTCTCAGCATTTATCCTGACAAGACCCTAAAGAATATTAAATGTTTTAATGAGATCACCTCTCATTCTTCTAAACTCCAGAGAGTAGAGTCCCAACCTGTTGAACCTTTGCTCATAAGGCAGTCCTTCCATACCAGGGATCATCCTAGTGAACCTTTTCTGAACCGCCTCCAATGAAATAATTTCTTTCTTTAAATAAGGCAACCAGAACTGATCACAATACTCCAGATGTCGTGTCATCAGCATCTTGTACAGCTGCAATAAGATTTCCCTACTCTTACACTCCGACCTCCTTGAAATAAGGGCCAACATTCCATTATCCTTCCGGATTCCCTGCTGCCCCTGTGTGCTAGCTTTCTGTGTTTCATGCACAAGTCCCCCCAAGTCCCTTTGTGCTGTTAAAATTGAATCAGAGATAGTAGGAACTGCAGGTGCTGGAGAATCCGAGACAACAAGGTGCAGGGCTGGATGAACACAGCAGGCCAAGCAGCATCATAGGAGCAGAGAGGCTGACGTTTCGGGCCTAGACCCTTCATCAGAAAAGGGGGAGGGGAAGGGGGTTCCGAAATAAATAGGGAGAGAGTGGGAGGCGGATAGAAGAGGGATAGAGGAGAGGATAGGTGGAGAGGAAACAAACAGGTCGAAGAGGTGGGGATGGAGCCAGTAAAGGTGAGTGTAGGTAGGGAGTTAGGAAGGGGATAGGTCAGTCCAGGGAGGACGGACAGGTCAAGGGGGTGGGATGAGGTTGGTCGGTAGGAGATGGAGGTGCGGCTTGAGGTGGGA